GTGTTTATTTTTTTTTTTTTTTTTGGAGAGGTTTTCGCTATAGGGCGCGTGCGCTCTTCAGACAGAGAGAGACATAGAGACAGAAAGCGAGACATCCCCAGGGGGGATGGTCACGCTGCAATCCTTTCTCCTCCATTCTCCTCTCAGGATCTTGGGCACGCACGCACACGTGCCTGGCGTGAGTTTTAAGCCACCGGGTCCTGTACGCGAACCGCGGTCGACTACGTGGGAGTCCAGCGACATAGCCATTACGCTAACTGCTGGTTCCCAATATTTTTGAGAAAATATTCCCATGTCAATTACTCAAACTGTTGAAGAGCAAACACCCAGCACACAATCACTCATGAACCTTTCCAACTCAGTTCTGTCTATCAAGTATTCTGTGGTTCACCATCTGCTAGCAAAGATCAGTCTCTTTTTCTTCCTTCAAAGTCTTCTTCAGGGTAATCCTTTGGTTGTGGCAAGCAGTGTTGTTTTCAACAGATAAAAACTGGAAAGGGTGCAGCTGCCCATCACCAGTAGAATGGATATGTAAATGGTGTATTTATACAGAAAATGTATGAATGAAATGCAAATGAACAAATCACAGTGACACGCAGCAATGTGGATGAATTTCACAAAATACTGAATAAGATGTAAGACACAAAAGAATATACACAGCTAGGGAACATTTGTATAAAATTCAAAAACAGGAACGCTATACCACTAAGGTACTAAAATTATGATTGAAAACCAAAAAATTATTATTACAAAATACAAAATGTGGCCATCCCTGCAATTTACCAGTTAAGGAAGCCAGATCCCACATGGCTGACCGTGGTTTGGATTCTGGCCCCAGTGCCTTGAAAAGCATGTTAGGCTCATATCTGGGCATAAGTGTCCTTCCAAGTCCTGATAGGAAGGAGAAATGGAGGACAAAGGACTGTGGCATGACCACGCCCCATGGGGGGCCTCCCTCTCTCTCTCTCTCTCTCTCTCTCTCTCTCTCTCTGGCAAACTCACATATGCACATGCCCGCTGGTGATAAAAAAAAAAAAATATGTGCAGGATAATTTCCTTTGGGAAAAGGAAAAATACGATCTGAAGAAATGTAGAGGCATTCTGGAGGCTGGCAAAGTCCTTTTCTATCTGAGTGGGGGTGTTCTATTTGCCATGTTATTCATTTTATTTAAGAATTATTTAATATTTGCTATTAATATCTTTTAATTTGATGAGAGAGAAAGAGAGAGAGAGAAAGAGAGAGAGAGAAAGTGAGAAAGCAAGCCACCAGGTCCGGTACTTGAACTGCAGTTGGGCAGGTGGGAATTCAGCACCTTAACCCCCATGCCACCTGCCGGCCCCTGTCATGGTATTCATTACACTGTCCGTATGTCCTTTATGCACTCTCATGAATTTGTGTCATATTTTACAATCTAAACGTATAAAAGATTTAATTAGGCTATATATGTAAAGTATGTAACAAAATGCCTAGTACATGCTAAGCTCTCAATAAACGTTAGCTATTATATTCATTAGGTATTATATCTACCACTAGTTGAGAAATTCTCTATACCATTCTTTCCCTTCATTAGTCATGGTGGGTACTTGGCTCAGAGTTCATTATGTATTTCTAATAGACTTTTACT